TTCTGGAAAAACAAATTGCTCTCCTTTAGGTCAGTTTTTCCTTGATTTTCTATTGACATGAGAGTATGTGCTCAGTCATATCTGACTCTTTGGGACCCCAGGGACTGTAGCCCACCAGGCTCCTCTGTCCATGGAATTCTCCAGGCAAGAATACTGGAGTGGGTTGCTATGCCCTCCTCCAGGGGATCCTGCGGACTCAAGAGATTGAACCTGTGTCCCTTGCATTGCAGGCAGGTTCTTTACCATCTGAGTCACCAGGGAAGCCCTCTATTCACACAGGTCTTCACATAAATAAACATTTCTATATCACACTCAACCAAAGTCAAAGACAATTATATAACTAAGGATGATTTGTACAACCCTAGATAGAAGTAAAGATTGCAACCTCTACTTTAAAATCAATGAACCATGAAAATATTTCTATCCTTGCAATCATGCAAGATTTCCCTCCTCTCCACACCACTCCCTTCAACTGCCCCCCAAAAAATAGGCTAGAAAAATGATGCTAAACATCCAATAAATTATTTACTCATGATGATTACGTTCTTAGTAGAACAGTATCTGGGAAATCAGGTTGGTCCTGTTAGTACCAGATGTAATCCCATCACACCCACGTGCTCTGCCCCTCCATTCTCCTGCTGGAGGGTGGAGCATCACAAGAGACTCCACAGTCCCACAGCCTGCCCAATTCCATCCCTGTCCCACAATCCCATGAGTGTTAAGTATGGAACTGTGGCACCAGGGTCAGCACACGCATGTTTCACAGCCTTCTCTATACATAAAGAAAAAACACACACAAAAACAGACCTCCCCTGGTCTCAGAATCTGCTGCTGCCACTTAAGCTGGCTTCCCCAGCCTGCCTGTTTCTCCGAAACAGTATCTCAGACTGGCAACCCAAGTTCAAAGCAAGGGGCGGACAGCACAGGGTACAAGTATGTGCTGGTTTGCAGCCGAATCACGCAAATGAAATGAGATGTCACCTCACTTTCTACATGCAATTCCCAATCAGTCATGAATTGATTTATGAATCTCTGGGTTCCCTTGGAAGTTTTTCTTAGCACTTGTGCCTTTAACTCATTTCACAATTAGCATTCTAGGGGCACATTTAACAAGACAGCATGCAATTCTTATATGACGGTCTAGTTTTTCAACAACTCTGGAAAGGTCTGGTTGGGAAGGGAATGAAATTTTAATGAAGATAAAATTCTGGTTTTCAGTTTCACACATGAGCTCTCTTTCACACTAGAAAATCTAGAAACTGGTGAAATTCTAATAACCTGATTTTTATATGAGATTAAACTCCCTCAGGAATAGAGTAACTCTAAGTTGCCACCTACTCTTTGGCTTTAGCCACCATACAACTAAATACTGCACAGCAATATGCAACTACTATTATTCTCACTAAAGAAATTTGATATAAGAAACCCTGTATGAAAAAATAACTTCTCACTGACTTAGCTAGGAAACTAGCTAAATTTTCACTAATAATTTATCAAAAGACTTATTACTAATATTTTAATAATAAATCATCATAGACAGCACCTTACTGCCTCCATTTTGAGTAAAATATCATGTGGTTTTACAGAAGAACTGTCTAGATATTAACGTTTATCTAATAACACTTGAATATGAACGCAGACCCAAAAAAAAAAAAAAATGGTTACACCACATTGAGGTTAAAAAAAAAAAAATCAAATATACTCGTCTTAACCGGATGAACACTTAGCACAACCAAAACAAAAGGCAAAAAGTAAATAAATGAATAAATCAACTTTTAAATTTCTGCTGGAGTCTGCATATTAACATTATTTTAAACAGCAAGGTTTACCTAAAATAACCATTATTTATGAGACTAGTCTTAAGAATGTACCAAAGATTGAAGGCTGTATAAAATATCTAATATTTTTATGTTACAGCTTAGTCCAAAAAATATTTTCATTGTTTTCAAATAAATTACCATCAGGTTATTATAACTAGGTTTCAAGTGTGAGATCTTTTGAATTTACATTAAAAAATATTTTCTTTTTGAGAAATGGAAAGAATAAAAACTCTTAGTTTACTACTCCTGAAAATAAATCCAGCATTTTCAGACATAGAAAAATTAGAGACAGTGCAATTAACAGACTGTTAAGTTAAATACGATTGCCAGTAACCAACTGCTGTCTGTTGAATTTCAAGAAAATCTATTGCATATTAAATTTTTACAAAGTGAACTCATCTATCATCTCAGCACTTTCTCAACTTTCCCATTACAATCAACAATATAACTTGGCGGTCAAATCTTCCAGACCAGTAACATCAGAATTTATTTTTAACTCCTGACTCCTTCCCAAATATTCCCCCCTTCAATCCAATCCAAAGTCCTGCCAGTTCATTCACGCTGTCTCTCAAATGTGTTCTTTTCATCCGATTTTCAATTTTGCTTTATATTCTCTCATTATTCACAACATACTCTACTACTCCCTAAAAGGGATCTGATGCCTGGTTTCTAACTCATCAACTTTGCTGCTCAAACCATCTTCAAATATTTTGTTCAGCAACCTATAGTATATTCCAAACTCTCTTGAATCTCAACCAAAGCCATCAGACCCCTCTGCTTTCCATCAGTTAGCATATTTCTCAAATTCCATCTCTTCTTATTTTCCTATTTAGGCCCCTTTTATTCAGATTTACTAACCTGCTTTATAAATACAAAAGTCACTACCTCTGTGCCTCTGCCCGTTCTGTCCACCTAGGACCCTTTATGCTTCTCAATTCAAGTCACTGCCTCCTTCAACAGCTGCCTTAAAACATACCTTTGCAGGAAGTCTTCCCTCCAAGCCATCTACTTCATGTCTTTATTTTTTGTCCCTCTGAACAAAATATTCTATTTGCATTTATAGTCTTGCAGTCATCAGATTACTGTTCTCACGTTTTGTCCCATAATCTGCCTCAAAAACGAAGCTTTCCAAACCAAGGACTATAATTTCTTATCGCTTAAAAAGGGGTCCCTTAGAACACCAGCACTCTAACAAAGACTTCCTTCCAAAATGCATTTAAAGTTAAGGTTGTCAAAAACACAGAGTCAGCACTGAACTCCAACTTCTTAAGTGTTAAGCTGACCTATATGGTAACAGAAAAGTCAACATTTTAACCCGCACTTTGCAAGAGTTGCCCCATCTTCAGTCAACATCCACACAGGATTCAAAGAAAATCCTGTGAACTAAATGAAAAGTCCCCAAATTTAGTATTATTAGGTATCCCATTCTGCTCTCTGAATAAACTAATTACCCAAGATTGATTTCGAGTGGTCTTTAAACCAAGATGAAAAACATCCTAACACTCCAGTACCACAAGAGGCTCTTAAGGAGCTATTACGAGATTTGCTTCATCATAGCTGAAAATTGCCCCAGAATTTTAAAATATTCCTCTCAAATGACCCCATGAATTGCTTAGAAAGCTTGACCATTCCCTGAAAGATGCATCATCAGCTTCCCTCTTCACATACTCTGCATTCTGAACTAGCTAGTCACCAAAAAAAAATTTAACTCTCAAAAATAATCTCCCATTCAGCTATTACCTTAGACTACCCTGTTTCAGACAAGTTCCAAAAGCCACCATGAATTGAAATCCTGAGTTCAAATAAGAGTGTTCATTTTATAATCAGTTTCACATAACAGCATATACTTTTTTTTAATCTCAATTCAATTCTCTCCTTCTTCTAAGTAGCAAAACAGTTTTTCTTTGCCCTCATTCATGCCCCTTTTTGAAGGAATAAGGAAACTATAATACAGATATTTTTGTCAAATTCTTTAAGTATGTTTAAATAAACTGTCATTAAACATCACATAAACATATCCATAAGCATAGATACACTAAAACACTGGATACTGAGTATACCAAACACTGAAAATAGACTTTTTGAGCACAAATTTGGGAAGAGTATAGACGTCTAGCAACAACCTTGAACAAAGCCCAAACACCCCTATTAAATCTGGAACCACAACCTTCTGCAAAACCTGAGATGGAAAAGTCTAAATCCATATTCTTCTAACTTCATAGTCTTATCTGAATTTGAAAGGAAACCAATGCAAGACTGTTGTAAGTAGTCCTAAGAAGGAACCCCTGAACTCTAGATCATTTAGCAAGTACTGAAAGCAATGGCACCCCAAAGCTGAACTCCAATGATGAGTCAGTGACAATTAACATCCAACTTACTATTTGGCAACATGACAACATAAGCCCCATTCAAAACTCGGACCTACTTTCAAGTTACCTTTCGATTAAACATTAACTCTATAGTGGTAGATTGGCGATGTCAAAACGGGAAGGTTAAGAGATAACATATTAAACGTATCCAATTTAGAACAATGCATGTTGAGATACTACTGCTGCTATCTATCAGCGGCACCGGTCCCTTCTAAAGAGACGAATCAAAGCTCGCCTTCAAACCGAAACGTGGTTACTTAGCAAGTTCATCTCTGGATTAAGAACAAATACTTTGTATAGTCACACCAGCAAGAAAGAAATGTTAGGAGACGGTGACATTTACCTCTTCCATTAAGTATACAAAACTATGGTAACCCTCGAGACCTGAGCTAACTAAACTATCCCTCATTCCAAAAGACACACTCTGGAAAAGCACATAATGGTTTATGAATCTTGTCCTCCGCTTTATTCAAAAGGATGAGCAAGTAAACACTTCCATCACTATTTTAAGGTGGAAACACTCAACCACTTAATAAAGCTATCAATTGCTAGAAAACTATAAGAACTAAGTTTCAGACAAAATCATCCAAATAAAAATCACATTCCCTCGATTCAAGGTTAATGAGACCTGGGAAGGGATATAGCAGGAGGAAAAAAGGAAGCTGCCTCATCCTTCACTGAAGACAGGTTTTTGCCCTTTCCCATTACCTCTGTTTTATCAGCAGGTCTTGTATTTTAAGATCCTGGTATTTCAAAATCTCTTATTCAAAGGGGAGGTGGAGAAGGGGTGTAAAATAAAATCAATACTCACTGCTAACTTTCATGCTGCCAAAAGCTGAAGGCTGCTGCACTGGCTTGCAGCTCTCCGCAAAGGAGGTGGTTCTGGGCCGCCCTGACATGATCACTCTTTTTCCGAATCACCTTTTTTCCTCCTTCCTCCTTTTCTTCCTTTTGTTTTATGTTGGGGTGTTAAGTTAATGATAAATGCAGCATTAAGTTCTCCCACAAGAAAAAGAAAAAGACTTCGTCCTCTTGCCTTTTCACTTCTTTTGTACAGCTATTTAAAAAAGCGAACGATGTATTTCTCCTTGAAGACAGATCAGTACGGATATTTAACATATAGACGATCCGGGGCTGGGGGAAAAAATACAATTCTTTCCCCTCCCTTTCCTTGGAGAGCAGAAATGGGTGGGAGGTCCTAAAAAATATATATCACGTGAAACGGGGACAAATACTGGATTGAAAATAAGTACTCTGAATATTATATTTTCCTCGGGGATTTTTTTTCCGAGTCAATGAAGAAGGGAAGCGGCGGAAGGATCACGAGTCTCACGCTTGAAAGGAAGGGGGGATGGGAAAGAGGGAGGGAGAGGGAGGGGTGGCTCGGAGATGCGTCGGGAAACGCTGCGGCTCCGGCAGCGGCAAGGATCCGGCGGGATGACCGCGGGGGCCCGGCGAACTGGAAGGCGGCGGAGTCGCGAGTCAATCAGAGTCGGGCGGTGGCGGCGGCTCTTCCCCTCATTGCGCCAGGAGCAGCTGCAGGCGGCGGCTGGATCCAGCGGCCATGGCGGCGGCGGAGGCAGCTCCCTTCAGACCCCAGGCAGCGGCTCCTCGACTGCTCCCCATACGCCGGGGACATGGGAACCCGGCAACCGCTTCCGTCCCTCGGGGCCCCCTCCCCCGTCCAAGGCACCAGCGCGGCCGCCCTCCCGCCCCTCGCTTCTGCACAGTCCCGCTCAGGAAGTGTCCGCGCTTTGCCCCCAGCCCGGAGCCCTGTCAGCGGCTGCGGGGTCGGCTCCTCCTCGCTTCCTTCCTTCCTTCCTTTGTCACTCGGCCCGGGCGGCGGCGGCGGCGGAGGCAGCAGCAGCAGCAGCACGAGCCCGCATTCGCCCGGGTCGGGTGCTGCTCTCTGTGAGGAGTGCCGTCTGCGCAGCCGCCTAGCTCTTCCCCACACCCCCTCCCCCCTCCTACTTGTCCTCCGCCTCCTTCCTCCCCCACCCAGCCTTACACCGCCCAGCGCCCGGCCGCCCGCGTAAGAGGCGTCTGGGAATCGCCGGCCGAGCAGGGCGTCCGCCCCCTTCGACAGGGGAGCCGAAACCCGAGCGGAACCAATCACGGATGTCGTTTGTTTGCGGATCCTCCCGGAAAAAGCCGATTGACCTGAAGAGCCAATCAGAAAGTGTCGCTGGAAATTCACGCCCAAGGACGGAAAATGCCGAAGATAGCAGACCGAGGAAAAGGTGGGTTCGCCTTGTTCTGTGGCTGGCTGGAGGAGAAATTCGGCAAAGACAACAGTGACCAATCAGAGTCGCTGGCCCTCAGGAAAAAGCTTGAAGAGTTAAGGACGGTGAAGCCCGGAGTCGCTGGCGAAACCGCACGGCGGGGCGCCGTGGCCGCTTTGTAATTGGCCGAAACTCCGCTGGGAGTGCAGCTCCCTCGGTGATTGGTGAAGGGAATGGGGCTTCCGAGGACAGTCTGGCCAGTCAGGACGTCTCCTCCCTCGCCGAGGTGGGGAGAAGTAGAGAGCGAAGGGAGGGCGTCTATAAAGCGCCTTCTCATTGGCCTGAAGCTCAGGAGCTGGAATGAGGGCAAAAGGGAAAAGGAGGGAGGCCGAAACTCGTAGCAATAGCCAATCTGCACCCGCTGCTGTCTAATCGCAAGACCTAGCTGCAGTGTGATTGGCCTTCGGCCTCCGGCGGCAGTCCTAGGAGCGGGGAGAAGCGCGACTGGGGTCGTGGTGGACGGTCTGACGGGCTCGCCTGCGGCCACTCGCAGGTGGTGTGGAAACCGCATATAGGGAGCGCGAGCCGGTGCGAAACTGCTGTGGTCGGTGGCGATGGGTTCCTAGCTCCAACAAACTGAGGGTTGAGGGGCTCTCCCCACCCACTGGAGGCTCTCGGCGGGGCGGGGCTAATTCTGTGCGCCTGGGGCTCCCCTCCGCCCGGGAGAGCGCATCCCGAGCACGGGCGTCTTCCCCGAAAGGGCCAGACAGATCCAGGGTGCCTCTCAGCCTGAGTGCGAATTTTCAGACATTGAACTGAGAACAAAGCTGCTAGAGAGGCAGCGCCCCTGGGCGACCGCGCCCCTCCCAGTCGCGGAGGCCATTGATAAGAGTGAGGGCGACTGCGCCTCGTGCGCGCTGCCAAGCCCGGCCTTCCAGAAGGCCCCTGAGAAATGAGCTCATGCTAGCTGAGCGCCCTTCTAGGGTGCGACCGGTCGGCGCAGAACGGCCCCCGAAAGCAGGTGAGGGGAAGTGCAGTCAGGCCGGATATCCCGAAGCCTCTGAGGCAACGGAGAGCCAGAATAGCCTTTGGTAGTTTTTGGTTTTTTGGAACTAGGGTGATCTATTAAAGTACTGTTTAAAAGGTTTCGCACATAGGCCAGTGTTCAAATTCCTGCGGTTTGCCCAAGGACAGAGAGGTATGATTACAGAAAAAGTAAAATGAACAGTTGCCATCCTAATTGTAATCCCATGGTACCTGTAATTTCCACCTGCAGTCATCCCTTTCTATTCAGATACCATCTGTTGCGAGCACATATAAAAATTACTTGATCAGGTTGACTAGCTATTGCTTTGGAAAACTGATGAGGAACTTAGGACAGAACAAAGTAAGCTTTGATGGAAGACAGGAAAGGTCTAGATAGGGTTTGCAAACTCGAATGTTTATAGGGGCCAGAAAAGTGAGTGAAACTGGCCTGGTGTAGACAATGGGGAGTGATAAGCAACGTGGCAAATTGGAGTGTCTGAGCTGTAACTGAAAGGAACAGCTGTTCGGCTCCAGCAGATTGTTGCTCTGAAGAATGTGGATACAGTGGTCTGAGATATTCCGTCCCCTTCCCCCCATCCCCTCCAGGAGAAACCCTTATAAAGCATGATATTTGTGTGAAATCTCTCGACTTTTACACCAATATTTCCAAACTCTGCAGGCCAAACTAAAAATATTGCAGGGTAGATGTGACCAACCTGCAATCAATTTGTAATCTCAAATCTGGACATGGGTTTTTGATAGCCCAGGAGTCCCAGTCGCGGAGGCCATTGATAAGAGTGAGGGCGACTGCGCCTCGTGCGCGCTGCCAAGCCCGGCCTTCCAGAAGGCCCCTGAGAAATGAGCTCATGCTAGCTGAGCGCCCTTCTAGGGTGCGACCGGTCGGCGCAGAACGGCCCCCGAAAGCAGGTGAGGGGAAGTGCAGTCAGGCCGGATATCCCGAAGCCTCTGAGGCAACGGAGAGCCAGAATAGCCTTTGGTAGTTTTTGGTTTTTTGGAACTAGGGTGATCTATTAAAGTACTGTTTAAAAGGTTTCGCACATAGGCCAGTGTTCAAATTCCTGCGGTTTGCCCAAGGACAGAGAGGTATGATTACAGAAAAAGTAAAATGAACAGTTGCCATCCTAATTGTAATCCCATGGTACCTGTAATTTCCACCTGCAGTCATCCCTTTCTATTCAGATACCATCTGTTGCGAGCACATATAAAAATTACTTGATCAGGTTGACTAGCTATTGCTTTGGAAAACTGATGAGGAACTTAGGACAGAACAAAGTAAGCTTTGATGGAAGACAGGAAAGGTCTAGATAGGGTTTGCAAACTCGAATGTTTATAGGGGCCAGAAAAGTGAGTGAAACTGGCCTGGTGTAGACAATGGGGAGTGATAAGCAACGTGGCAAATTGGAGTGTCTGAGCTGTAACTGAAAGGAACAGCTGTTCGGCTCCAGCAGATTGTTGCTCTGAAGAATGTGGATACAGTGGTCTGAGATATTCCGTCCCCTTCCCCCAATCCCCTCCAGGAGAAACCCTTATAAAGCATGATATTTGTGTGAAATCTCTCGACTTTTACACCAATATTTCCAAACTCTGCAGGCCAAACTAAAAATATTGCAGGGTAGATGTGACCAACCTGCAATCAATTTGTAATCTCAAATCTGGACATGGGTTTTTGATAGCCCAGGAGCGGTAGAAGCTCTTGTTCTTTGCAATGAAGACAGAACATGAGGTCTCTGGATGTCATGGAGAAGGGTAAAGAATGTTGAAAGCAAACTCAGTGCATGGCAACTTTGTTAAATGATTGTTGCCTCTCCCTGCAAACTACCATGTAGACCTCTGCCACTAGTCCCTAAAGTGCTGTGAGGTAAAGCTAGAAATCCTGCCTTCTTCTTTACCACCCATCTCTACTCCCAGTTACACTGGCAGGAAGCTGAATGACAAATGTTTAGGTTATACAAATTGGAAACAGCTATTCTATTGTATATAATAAAGTACAAAAATAGTCTACCTTGAGGTTACGATTAGTAGCTTTACTGTTGCTGCCTTCAAATATTTTGAACTGACACTTAAAAAAAAAATCTGATCAGAGGATGGGGTGGGGAGGTGAGTCTTATAGGAAAACAAAAAATAGTTCAATTTAGAATTAGTACATAAGGAGGGGAGAAATTTATGAGAAAATACAGTACCACTGAAAGTAACATTCAGTGATTGTTTTTCTGACCTTTCAAACTTACTCCACCTTCTCACTTGCTGTTAACCACTTATCAGTTTATAGTAATTTTAATATTTATGTGTTTATAATGTGCCAGACGCTGTTCTTAAGTGTTTCACACATGCTATCTCAGATTATAATCATACGGTATAAGTACTGTTACCACCTCCACTTTAAAGATAAGGAAACTGAGGGTCAGAAATATATACTAACTTACCTAAGGTCCACAGAGCTAAAGTAAGCAGACCTAGGGTTCAGATTCCTTGTACTTCTCTCAAACACAGTCCTCACCTCCCCTGGTCTTGCTTTATCTTAAAGTCTAAGCCTTATGTCTTCAACTGTGTGTGCTTTGGGTTCTGTTAGGGCTCATTAGTTGGTCCCTTGGAGAGATCAGTGATTCCGAGCCAAAGTAACAAACCAGAGGGCTAGAAAAAGATACAGGAAAGCTGAGTGACACAAAACAGGTGAGTATTGTAGTTGGGGGGAGGAGGTGTGTAAGCCTGTCCAAAAGATAAAATGCACAATGAACTGGCTTCTAGAGTAATAATAAGTATTTGTACAATACTTTGCACTTAGGAAGTACTATTATGTTAATAAAGTTTACAGAGTACCATTATGGAACTATTATTCTGTTTTTATAGATGAGGAAACTAGACAGATGTCTTGCTCAGAATCACTTAGCTACATTTTTAACTGAAACTAGAAGAAAATATAGGAAGATGTAATAATGAGGATAGCAAATAGAATATGAGATGCTGTTTATTTAGATAAACCCAGGGCCTGTCAGTTCACACAGAAGTCCACAATCAAACTGCTTCTAGGATCTCCTTTACTTAGCCAACGTATATTAAATACCTAAATGATGTTGGGTGCTGGTCTTCAAAATTGAGTAAGTATGGTCTCTGCTCCAGATACTTGCACTCAGATACTATGAGATACAGAAGAGTTGTTTAATAATAAACCCTAGGAAAGCCTTCCAGTAT